TGGGATATTCATCATTTTAAAAAATGAGGACGATCCTAAAAACTTAACTGATGTGTCAGTGTACTATTGTGGTGCGCGCTACTTATAAGTAGTATATGACACGAGTGTCAACGTAATGTCTGGCAACAGAAGATGAGGGAAGATCAAGAAAGGAAGAGTGGGAACACAATGGAATTTGTTTGAAACGCATGAACAGAGTGAAATGTCAGACAATGGATTGATGATGGATTGAAGATTTGCAAATTAACGATTTACGATATGGTTTTCCTATTTTACTGAGTAACTCTGTAATTTTCGTTAAATACAATTCGGTTGCCCTCACCTGTGTTCTCCTTCACTACACTATTACGAAGCAGTTATTATCAGACGAAAAAGATGTAACCAAAATGGAACTTACTTGGTATATTTTCAGCTATTTCCCCAGTGTTTGATTCATTGACATTTTTATTGAGTAGATCACTTTGAAAATTTTTATTTCTTTTACGAGGACCAACATTGTTAGCTAATAATGCATTGCTAAGATACATAAGATGACCAGTACCAGCAGTTCGTCCAACACTACTATGACTTATATGTCTAAATTAAACAATAGAATACCAATGGTCAGATGAAAAATTTAAAACTTTTGGTATGAATTTGTTTATAAATTAATTTAACTACTGATAATAAAATAAGTAGGCAATTGTAAATGTAAAAAATAAACATTGTAAGAATAAACTGTAACATGGTAGATTCCAAACCATTTGGCACTCGACAGTAAAGCGTACGTGTAATCTTGAAGGAAACAGCTTTAGGTTAATTTATCTGTTACTGACCACTGATTAGTGACGAACGCATCGTTTATCAATCAGGAAATGTTCAGACATCAAGCAGTTTAAAAATTCGCCAGTCAATGGATATCATCGACTTTCTAAAACACAACAGACATGAAAACCTTTATTCTTCAATTTGAACCACTGTACAAAACGTACTAAGTTCAACATGATGTTTGACTAACTGACTGACTGACATTTTTCCTCTCTAACATTTGAATACCATTGGGCTTAGAGTGAAACAAATTTCAAACAACAGTTTAAATGAATATCTGGTTTGCATTACAGGGTTGTGAAGATTGTTAAAAGTTACACATTTTTGAAACTATGAATCGTTCGCCTATAATACTGAAGGTCCTGGGTTCGAATCCTGCGGAGTGCAGGAGTCGTGCATGCGCACTGCTGAGGAGTTCCATACCAGGAAGAAACGGTCGTCCAGTGCTTCCAGGTTTCTAATGGTGGTCTAACATTGATCGATTCATGGTTTCAGGAATATCTGGTTGTTTAAAACAACTAAAAACCGAAATTCTGCTCCGGACCCCCCTCTCACATCTATAAATTTTTAAATGAATGTACCGATATGCAAAAAACTTGAAAAGTAACAAAAAATGCACATTTTCTTTGCATCATCTTACTCATATTGTTGAATGCAGTGTTTACCACGATAACGTAAATGTTGAATAGCAAATCTGTAAGATGATAAGAAAGACGGGACAATGAAATTAACTGAGTAATTCGGTCGGGAGTACACATTATAAACAAGGCCTACAAACACATTCACTACTAAATGCATATAGGCATAGAAGTTTTCTGTACACAAGTATACTCGACTCTACTCTACTCTACATATATACATACATGGAGTGAATTGACCAAAGTCATTTCTCTTTCTCTCTAATATCGGTACGTAGGTGTACCTGGGATGAATTTTGAGGTTTTCTAGATATGTTGACTATTTTTAACAATATACTGTTGTTCGGGATGCGATTCTGCCTGTCGAAATGCAAAATATTGCTTCAGGATTGTCTTGTATCGGCACCTGAATTAGTGATAGTGAGTGAAGCGGGTGAGCGTGTTGACCGCTTCAATTATCTGGAGAGTCTCATACGTGCTGATGGACTGGTGACTGACGAAATCTCAGCACGGATACAATAGACTCGACTGGCTTTTGCCAATTTGCGTCACTTATGGCGAAGGCGAGAAATCCGTTTACTAACCAAAGGACGAGTGTACTACGCAGCAGTTCGCTCCGTTCTACGATATGGCCGTGAAAGATGTCCGTTAAGAGTAGAGGACTTTCGTAGGTTACTAGTCTCCGACCATCCTTGTCTCCGAAGCATTGCTCGAGTATCGTGGGACAACCGAGTAAGCAATGATGTCGTTAGGGATGGCGAATCAATAGATGAAGCATTGAAACTTTATCAGTTGAGGTGGTTGGTTGGTTGGTTGAGTTACGTATGCCTAACCAACGAATGCCTCGTCGAGCTTTGTTTTGTAGTGTAGAAATAGGTTGGACGAAAGCTAGGGGTGGCCAAACCAAAACATGACAGAGATCCATGAAGTCATTGACAAGTCATTAACGTGTTCACGTGCAGGCGTAACAGAATCAAGCCCAAGACCTCCGGTGTTGCACGTGAACGCATAACCTCTACAACCATATTATGAAAATTGTCATGTGCTCACTATTGAGTGACTAGCTCCGTAAGGAATTTTCTCTGAGTTCTAGTGAGAAGTTGTGTCCGGTGAAGAGAAGACAATGAGTGAGGTCGCATGATATTTTGAATCGCTTAAAGTTGGACAATTAAAACCATTAGATGCCTGTTCAGTGGCGTAGAGGTTAGGCCTCCGCACAAAAGATCGAAAGTGGGTCGTCGGTCCGATTCTTGAGAGCGGGAATCATGGGGGCGCACTACCACCGCTGAAAAAACTATTCATATACTAGGGATGAAACAGGTTTCTAATGCTATAGTCTGTTGTCTAACACATTAATCAATTCAAGCATTCAAACAAAACTGAACAATTTCTTTTAAAAAAAAATATATATCACTTACTTTAATAAACTTAAAAAATGTAGCCTATCTTGTATAGTGAAACTTTGTAATAAACTTTTCAAATGTATCATTGTAATAGTCGAGAGAATATGTAATAAACATATAAATAAATCACGTTGACAATTATCAGTTAAACGATACGGTAGTAGATTAGTTTGTTGTAATTGTTCATAAGAATATTGATGTCGATGTGGACGAATAACGACGACGTTCGATTGTTGCTGCGTCGTTGTTGTTGTTGTTGTTGGCGATGATGATGATGACGACTGTGATAATAATTCAGGAATATAAATTTTTTGTACACCACTTTGATATGATACATAATACTGATGATGATTAGTATGATATGATGATGGGAGAATAGAATTCGGATTGCTGAAATAAGAAAATTACATTAGATAATAATGTCAGTCAGTCAGTTATAAATCATTTTGGAGAGAGTGTGGTGTGAGCTACTTATAAGTAGTATATGACGTGAGTGTCAACGTAATGTCTAGCAGCAGAAGATGGGGGAATATCAAGAAAGGAAGAGTTAGTTAGAACACAATGGAATTTGTATGAAACGCATGAATAGTAGTGACAATGGATTAGATGTTGTTTGCAACAGGAACAGTCCTTCAGTTCGATATGATGATGAACTGATATTTTGCAAATGAACGATTTACGATATGGTTTTCCGATTTTACTGAGTAACTCTGTAATTTTCGTTAAATACAATTCGGTTGGCCAACCTGTGTTCTCCTTCACTACAAGAGTAGTAACTTCACTACCTGAAGACCTTTCCGAGCTACAACTGCCGGTCCCAAGCCTGAGGATATGGAAGGAGGGTTGGGGCTTAGGGTTAACCACCCAATCCCTCAAAAAAACGCCAACAAGAAAAAATAATTCAAACCATTCAAACTCCGCTCTAGGAGTTAGAAGGTCTTCATTTAGAAGAGTTGTTATGACTTCTCATGATGAAAGCCGAGTTCCTTCAGAATTTATGAGGCTGATGCCCCCTTCTGACAACCAGAACCCTTCCATGGTATGGGTAGCCGTGAAGTAACACGCACCCCATACTCATAAAACCACACGAGACCAAATTTGTCGCAATCAAATACCGATTGTAGGGAGTCTTATGGAATTTCATGAACATGGGTCAATGTTAGACCTAACAGTGCCCGACTGTAGCTGCTACCTTGACATGGTGGTCGGGCTTGCCTATCGTCATGACCCAACCGAGCTATATATGTTCCTGAAGGTTCTACCATGCCAGGCAGGTCGACTGGAAAACGATGAGACTAAAAGCAGCTATTCAAGGTCTGAGTGCTGACTGTAGACGGGTATGACAACAGTAAGGTGTTTCTGTCGGACAACCAGCATCTGCAAGGATGCTGCCTTCTCACAAGGAACGAAGGGTTAGAAAAGGTCGACCCTAAAAATGTCACACCTAACCTTACATCATGGATTTCCGTCTCCAGCGGTAAAGGCTGCCCACTAAGGTCTTTAAAAGATCGAAGCTAATACTCAAATAACCTTTCATGAAAAAGTCGTGCGTGACCGGCCTGAAGCAGTTGTCCCTTGAGCTCTGCGGTCACGCTGCCAGGTCTCTAAGACCAACACTAATTTACCTTCCTTTTCAGCTCCCTCAAGAAACAACCTTCCACGGTGTGGGCAGCCGAGAAAAGACAACCGCCCTCATACCCGTAACAGCACATGAGACCTAACAGTGAAGTAGTGCAAACACTGGATGCCTGTTTCGACTTAGTATATGGGACTTCTCATCAGTGGCAGTGCACAATATCGTGGGTTAACTCGACTTAGACATGACCACAATTGGATGACACCTCAGTGATGTAGAGGTTCAGCGTTCATATGTCAGACTACAAGTCCTGGGTTCGATTCCTGTGAGAGGGGTGTCTTGAAAGTGCATAGCCACTGATAAGTGTCATACTAAGACGAAATGGCTGTCCAGTGTTGCGAGATTTCCACACATGAATATAAAAACAAACTATTATTATTATTATGCGCGTTATCTAACTCCGTCCAAAGACCTTTTACGGCTCTAGGAAAACCAAAGGTCACAATACATCGAGAACCGGTAGCGGACATCAAACGAATGAACAGTTGTTGGATAGAAATGGAAAAGAATGCCCAGGACAAAATAGGTTAGAGAAAGCTGGTCGGTGGCCTATGCTTCATTAAGGGGTAAGTAATAAGCGTTAAGTATCAATAAACATAAGTGTGATGAATAAACAGTATTCATCAGTGAAATGAACGGTGAAAATTCTAGAAAATGTAACACTTTGAAAATTGAACAACCCTATTGGACAGTGAATAAAACAAACGATCAGTTATCAAATAACTAACACAGTTAAATACCGTCAAATAAACGAATGATAATAAGATTCAATTGGTTGAATAATCAACCTTATACATGTGATGTCTAAATATTCCTTGTAGTGGAATGGAAACATTGAGTTTTCCCTCTAAAGAGTCAAGCCGGTGATATGAATTGGGAGTTATCGTATCATGATAAAAGGTTACGAATAAGTATTTACAGTTTGTCTGAAGTTCTCAGTTTGGTTTTGCATATTGTGGAATAGGATTCCCATGACGAACTGACATCAGACACATGATGCATAGCTTTGCCTACCGTCTGTTAATAAACTTCAGAAACTTGTAATGGTTGATATCTGCTATTATTCCTAAACTTCGTGTACTGATCGTCTTGATGACCGTTAATAAATAATGCCCAACGGTTTATGCAATTCAGCGAACCAACACGAAGTGTTGGTTACGTTTAACATTGTTGCAACACACACAGATCACAGAACTATAAGACATACGAAGAGAAATCGAAACGATGTGCGAATGTTGAGGAGTGAATGAATGGGACAGGGAAATGCATGAGAGCCGCAGAATTATTTCAGTGAGTAACATTAAAACTAATAGAATGTACATCTGAGTAAGCTGTAACCAATGCTCATGCATAGTAGACAAGGTTGTTTCTGTTTCAACGACTCTGTTAGTTAAATAAGTTAGGAGAAAAAGGGTTTAACCACGTCGAACGTGAACAAACACCAATGTGTATATGAGGTGGTGACATAAACTTATCTTTGAGAGTGAGAGTAGAAGAGTCAGAATGGGACACTATTATCCAACCTCACTCTCAACTTAAACATTCAATTAGCTTTGAGGAAAATTTAGGTTTGATGATAATTTAGTTTAATTATCATCATCCTAAATTCACTTTTCTATTTTCTCTCTCTCCCTAAAAATTGATTTAAAGCATTTTTCAAGACTCTTGTTGCAACACTGCCAAATTCTTACTTCGTTCCAATCGCTGTTACGGGTATGAGGGCGGATGTCACTTTCCGGCTGCCCACACCGTGGAGGGGTGTTTCTTGAGCAATCTGAAAAAGAAGGTAGACTGGTGTCGGTCTTAACGACCTGGAAGTGTGACCGCAGAGCTCAAGGGGCGACTGCTTGAGGCCGGTCACGAAAGGTTTTTTTGAGTATTAGCTTCGATCTTTTAAGGCCCTTAGTGGGCAGCCGTTACAGCCGAAGACGGAAATCCATGAGGTAAGGTGAGATGTGACATTTCAAGGGTCGACCATTTCTAACCTTTCTTTCCATTGTGAGAAGCCAGCATCACTGCAGATGCTGGTTGTCCGACGGAAACACCTTAATGCTGTCACACTGCCTCTCTGTAGTCAGCAGTACGACTTCACCCTCAGACCTTGAGTAGCTGTGTTTAGGCTCAACGTTCTCCAATCGACCTGCCTAGCATCGTATAACCTACAGGAACATATGTTCCAGCCAAAACAGCTCAGTTGGGTCATCATGATAGACAAGCCCGACCACCACACCAAGGGAGAAGTTACGGTTGGACTTACTTCGTTCATTAAAACAACATCCAACTGATCACCATCACTAACTACATTTTAATTATAACAATAATAATAAATTTGTGCCTTATGAAAATAAAATACATATTCACATTACTTACTCATCCATCTCAGAAATATTTATGTCTAATGGTATTTCCATTGAGGCAGTAGGTAACATCGACTGGGAATTCTCCGAATTGATTGATCGCTCATCATGATTCACTTGGTCTGTTGGATAAACACCAGCTAATGTAAGTACTTGTTTTGCCCAATCTTGATCACAATCTATAATCAATCAGATTATATAATAATAATAATAATAATAGTTTCAAGGTTAAATCACGATCGTCAAAATACTCTAATACAAAATCAAAAAAGCGCGTTCACTAGTGACCAGCTTCATCAAGTTCTCGGAGTTCTAGTGAGAAGACGTGACCAGTGGAGGTAAACCATGTCGGGTGTAGGCAGTTACATACAGAAGACAATGAGTGAATTTGTGCAAAATCTTAAGATTGATAAGAATTAGATATGAACACTGGTGCATGACGGTTCAGTGGTCTAGCGGTTAGGCATTTACGCGCAAGACCGAAAGTCCTACATTCGAACGCTGTGAGTAGCAGGAGTCGTGGATACGCGCTGCTGATGAGTCTCATACCAGGACGAAACGGCCGTCTATTGCCTCCAGGGTTCTCTAATGGCCGTCTAACAATGATTCATTGATGATTTCAAGGTATAATAACATTTATTTTAGTGGCCCTGGGTCTAACTCTAAACTGTACGAACACTGTTTGTTCGACCAATGTAGGTTTGACCACACTGCAGTTAGTTGAGAAATGAGTATTGATAAATGAGGTCACTGAAATGGTGACCTAATGATTAAGGCGTTCGACTTTCAAATTACGTTGAAGGCCTGATATGCGTAATTTTTCGTAGTAGTCAAGAGGTTAGGCATTCGCTAGAGCAAGACCGAAGGTCCTGGGTTCAAGTCCTGCGAGTGACAGGAGTCGTGGATGCGCAATGCCATTGATGAGTAGTCCCATAGACTAGGACGAAACAGCCGTCCAGTGTGGTTCCAGGTTTGTCTAATGAGGTGGTCTAACAATGATTCATTCATGATTTCAAGGTAAGAACTACCATCTCTATAATACTCTAATGTCAAGTCGAAATACGAAATGACAGTGAAGATTGTTACGCCTGAACGTAAACACGTCAACTTGATATATACGAGTTTACCTAGTCGGAAAAGAAGAGCGATGATCGAGGATCCGACGACACGATATGCTACTCAAATCCGATTATCCCAACCTCCATATTGAGTAAATGATAAGAAGACTTGAATGTGAAGTAGAACCTGTATTCTACAAGCATCCAGAAAGCAAGAGGTCCAAATCCAGTAGGGAATCAGGATCCTGGACTAGGGATCCGGGAACGGGTTCGGGTCATAAAACGTTACAGATAATGCGTATTTATACATTTTGGTCGAATAAGAAACAACATTGAAGTCTGTGACATTGACAGTTAAAACGACCAATAGGAAGCAAAATTTAAAATGACATTGACAGTCAGAACAACCAATAAGAAACAACATCTAGGACGACCATAAAATTGACCAGTAGGAATTAACCAATAAGAATTGACCAATAATTCTCTCTTTGAATATTAGATGAATATTCTTAACAAAGATACAGTGAGAATTGTCAACAATAACAACAGCCACAACAATAACACAAAACAGAGAGAGAAAAAAATCAATTCACATTTCAACTTACTTTGTTTAGCATGGCGTTGCATATCACCCCCATTGAGAAGATTGTAATTATGAGCATTGTTATTGTTATTATTATCATTCAGATCGAGACCAGTTAATGTCAGCGTACTACTACTTGTATAACCTGATAAAATATCATTGTCTTGTTGTACACTATCTACAGAATGAATTGATTGAGAACGTGGACATTGACTGGACGCTATAATTGATGGTTTGTCGGTTTCCGTTGACAGTGTGGAGGTGGCGGTGGTTGTTGTTGTTGTTAGTGGTGAGTTCTGTAGACGTGTTCGTTGTGTACGACGTTGAAGAGCACCACCTAATATAATAAGAGTAGGAAATAGTTTTAACAATCTGGTGTCACACACACGCATATACACACTTGACAAGGTAGCCTATGATCCATTAGGAGTTACAGGCGTAAATAAGTACTTACTTACTTACGCCTGTTACCCCCCGATGGAGCCATAAGCCGCCGACCAGTTTTCTCCAACCAACTCTGTCCTGGGCTTCTCTTTCCAGTTCTATTCAATGTTTGTTCATTCCTCTCATATCTTTCTTTATTTCTTGGCGTAATGTGTACCTTGGCCTTCCTCTTTTCCTTTTGCCTTGAGGGTTCCATGTGAGGGCTTGTCTTGGGACGCATCTGGCTGCTTTTCGCAGTGTGTGTCCTATCCACTTCCATCGCTTCTTCCTGATTTCTTCCTCCACTGGAATCTGGTTTGTTCTCTCCCACAGTACGTTGTAGCTGATGGTGTCTGGCCAACGAATACGAAGTAGGAAAGTCCACACATACACTCTATTTCCAAATACTCCACACATGCACAGCGGTTATCAGTAAAATTCTACCCATTAACTCCTCATGTTTACGAAATTAAGAGAACTTAAAGCTGATTTACTACGATTAAACCGGGTCGGTACATATATAGGATCCATCTAGAGAAGTTGGAGAATCCTGATTCCAAACCCATGGAGAATATATGCTTCAAGATCCTAATGGAACAAATGGTGAGTGAACGTATCATTGGACAGCGGTTACCATATGCCTGCATCACTTGACGTTGCTTCATTGTCTTGTGGACTAGACCTATGGGTCAACAAAGATTGAAGAAGTGGTCCTTATAAGAAAATCACCTATTCTGATTCGGACGCCTGGTTAGTGTCTCTCAGCTTACAATACACACTCACTGATTTATGCGGCGCATAAACATTCAATCTTCATACAGAAAATACAAGTATTCCTTAACAGTTTTCTGCGCAAAATACTTCACATCTGTTGGCCAGACACCATCAGCAACAACCTACTGTGGGAGAGAACACACCAGATTCCAGTGTAGGAAGAAAATCAGGAAGAAGCGGTGAAAATGGATAGGACACACCCTGCGAAAAGCAGCCAGCTGCGTCACAAGATAAGCCATCACATGGAACCCTCAAGAAGGTAAAAGGAAAAGAGGAAGACCAAGGAAAACATAACGACGAAAAATAGAGAAGAATGGACAAAATTTGGACAGAATTGGAAAAGGCAACCCAGAATGTAGAGTAGGTTGGAGAAAACTGGTTGGCGGCCTATGGCTCCATCGGGGGGAGGGGTAACAAGCGAAAGGAAGTAAGTAATAAGAATGATCATCGATTTTCTATCGTCTGTAGGACTTTAATCCAACGAAACTCAGATTCTAAACTCATATCATCATACAACAAAATTCAGTCTTTTTTGTTATCATGACCATTGAAAAGTTTACAACTCCCTAACCAACACCTTATATTGTCTTGTCAACGATCAAAGGATGAATAAGAGAGGAAGTAACCCTCAAGAAAGCTTAAACAACAACAAATACTCACCGTTCACTTACCTTGATTCATTCCAGCAATCTGATCCAAAATGTGCTTTTGTACTTTACCATCTTTTGTTAAATAAGCTGCATTCGTTGAATTCATATTCACATTCGAAGAACTGGCAGTCGAGTCAGACACAGCATTGTGAACTATCGATTGACCTTCACTGGAATCATTTGAAACAGATGATTTCCGATCATTATTCCATCCAATAGTAGTATTTTTTGTGATTGACAAACAAGAACTAAATGAATCACTGTCAGAATTTGTTACACTTGGTTGATGTGACGGCGGCAGTGTTCGTTGTAAATGATTACTGTTTGGATGCATTGTTTCTACAGGATAATCATCACTGTGTATACTTCCCGGTCGAAATATTGTATTCATTGAACGAATCGGATCGGATTTATTAGCGGCAATGGTTGATTTATCCATGGAATGATGACGAGGAGACCATACTCCAGTATGATTATGTTCATCATCATGTATAACTGATGAGAATAATGATGTTGATGATGATGGTTCTTTAGTGTTTCGATGTAATGCAGTGGTTGCTGCTAGGACAGCAGTTTGTAAAGCACCACCTTGTTTGTGAACATTTAAGGGAAAGTGAATGATTTATCGATTGAAACAAAAAAGCAATATTAACAAGTTAAAGACAGGTTGAAATGTGAATGGAATTACGAATAGAACTTTTGTAAATAGAAAAAACACTAATATAGATAGATAGACAATCAGAGATAGCCAAATGTGAAGGTCATTTGATGATTATCATAGAGAAAGGACAAATACATATCACTGGTCAAGAAATGGCTACATTTTCTGACGGGAAGGATATGGATGAGTATATATGTATATAACTCGTTAGCCAAATAAACTTTCTCTTCCATTGTTGTAGTCTTGCTCAAGTAGTCCGTTTGCGAAGGGTTAGCACTAATCACATTCAGATCTCAAACGACGTACATTATAACAAGCCCTTAAAATTTTTCTTCCGGTTAACGTTTTCTTAACGAGTTGGTTTTCTGCGGGATGAAGTCATCAACCTCATGCCCAACCCTCCTCCTTTATCCGGGCTTAGGATTGACAGTAACCTCAGAGGGGCTCAAGGTGGAGACTATAACAAGTAGTAACTTAAAAAATTACAAATGTGTGACTAAACCACCACAGTGAACCCCCTCCTGCTTTATCCGGGTGCTCTGGACTAACACTAACTCGAATAGAGTTCCAGGTCAGTCAGTCAGTCAGCCAGATGCAATGTAGAACTTCGTACGTAAGTACATCAGTTCATGTTGCCATACCACATCAGCACAGAGCTGTAATTATCAATTCAAATCCAATAGTAGAAGAGGTAGTAAAAAGGTATTAGAAGTAATCAGAGAGGTTAGGATTAAAAGATATTATTCAAGAAGTATGATTCAGTGAGAAAAGTTTATAAAGTCAAAACTAGAGGTGTTGAAGAATCCAGAAGATTAAGATTTGAGAGAACACAAAGAATAAATGCACCGGCGCCATTGCAAACAGTTTTGAGCCATGTCATTCAAGGTCTCTAATCATCAATTATTATTATCTCGTGGACCCCAACCAGGTAGTCGACACCTACCGACATGACTCAGTCCACTTGTCAGTGACTTCATGGATTTCTGTCATGTTTTGGTCTGGCCGCCCCTAACTTTCTTCTAACCCACCCCTACACTACAAAACAAAGCTCATTCCAGGTGGGGATGCGACAAATCAAGCCCTAAACTTGAAATCCTCAAACCTAAAAGGATACAGCAAACTAAGAATTGAAGGTAGACAGTCGACAAAATTATCAACAGACGTGCAAGTAACATATAAATACTTCAATTCAATTTACCTGGTGGTCCAAATGAATTCCAATGTTCCAATGCTAAACGTACCAGCGGTAAATATAATGCACCAATTCTAGCTTGTATTATTTTCGATTGACAATAACGTGTATCCATAGTATGCTTAATTAATAAATGACGTAATATTAAAATTGGTTGTTTATAATGTGCACTACTCTTTGTTGTCGTTGTTGTTGTATTACTCCTCCTCGTACTACTACTCCAATTGCATATCCAATTGCCTGTATTCATACAACCAGCTAGTAAACAGCTGATTTGTTGCAATAATATACCAATTAAATAATGTTGTTGACAAAATTGGTCAGTTAATGATAATTCCAATCCAATATCTAATGAGTTTCAATGTGTTTGAAGAGAACAAAACAGAAAAGAGAAAAGAGGGAAAATAAACAATTGATTACATTTTTTGAAACCATGAACCGCGATCAATGTTAGACCATCATTAGAAACCTGCAAGAAGCACTGAAAGACGGCCGTTTCGTCCTGGTATGGGACTAGCTCATCAGCAGTGCACATCCACGACTCCTGCACCCCGCAGGATTCGAACCCAGGACCTTCGGTATTGTGCACTAACGCCTAACCTCTGGACCATTGAGCCAGTATCTAACGGTGTTATTGTCTAACTTGATCAGTTTATGGTTTCAAATTGTGTAACTTAACAATCTCCACAACCCCGTAATACAAATTACCTGTGCTCAATAGTGACTAGCTTCGTGAGGAATCTTCTCCGAGTTCTAGTGGGAAGACGTGACCAGTGAAGTTCAACCTGTTCGGGTGTAGGCAGTGTCTAGCGAAGACTGTGTATGAGGTTGCGCAACTCCGTGAATCAAGTTAGACAATAACACCGTTAGATACTGGCTCAGTGGTCTATCGGTTAGGGCGTTCGCGCACAATACCAGAGGTCCTGGGTTCGAATCTTGCGGGGTGCAGGAGTCGTGGATGCGCAATGCCACTGAGGAGTCCCATACACCAGGACGAAACGGCCGTCCGGTGCTTCCAGGTTTCTAATGGTGGTCTAACATTGATCGATTCATGGTTTCAAAAAAATGTGTAACTTAACAATCTTCACAACCCCGTAATGCAAACTGATTAAATGTGTAACATGTGAATAGCATAACATAGTGACTTAAAAACTGCTTTGACTCGTCAATTGTCAGATGCTTGAAACTACTAATACAAGTTCATCTTAATCGGTAAATGAGAGCGAAGACAAATGATCCATTGACAAGATAGACCACTACTCTAATCCAACCATCCCAAGTGCCAATACTAACGGTATGAAAAAGTCTTGATATGACGTAGAGAGTGTACTCTACAAGCACCTCCCAAAATATGAGGTTTTGTACAGAAGAAGAAGAGGAGCAGAAAACTTTACAGACAATGCATATTTATATAGTTAAGTCGACCTACAATACTAACCAATAGGAAACAACATTGAAAAGTATATGAACTTGATAGTTTAGGATGACCTTGAATATTGACCAATAGGAATGGACCAATACAATTAGACTTACAAAATAATTTCTTTAGGATATTTGATGAATATCCTAACAAAAACACACATAATTATTGTTATAAAAGGGCAACTAAATATATCATGCACCGCACAAATCAATGAATTCGTCAGCAGGATGACGGAAATATTATCCGGGTGACCAAACTAAATCAGGTGGTTGTACTTAAGGAGACACTATACGAGCCTTTCATCAACAGATCTAATATTTGCGATACAGTGGGCAACGTAAGGAGATGCAGTCATATGGTAGTTGGTCACCAACAATAGGTTCATGGATTAGTTGTTCTTTGAGGATCATGAAGCCCATATACATCGCCATCGGTGTGGAATCAAGGTCCTCTATCTCTCCCATATAGATCCCTCCATACCCATGACCAACCCAGCTTAAGCTCCAGTCAGACATTCGCTTTCATTCAGTCAATTTCGCAAGCAACACCTGTTCTATGAGAAGTCAGCAAGAAAAGCTTCCTTGGTGGAAGATATATACACATCGACATTTGAGAGTACTTGGATACAGAAAGTGTACCAGGACATCAAAAGACCTATTTTAAACACATAATTATTTAAAAAATCAGTAAATTCTAGAGTCAGATGAGTTGTGAAAACGTATTCCAGATTTTTTTTCAGCTGGCATTTATCGATCATGTAACAAAAATGAGATACACAGCGGTTAAAACTCGATGATGTGGTTAAAGCGGCTTTATCAGTAAGTGACTGGCTGATGAGATATAGGTAAGTAAATAGCAGAGTGTCACAAAAAAATCATTTATCAAATATAATTATTTATGAATAATGACAATGTGAATAGATGTGAAGCGGAGATGTTTTTGTGAGCGAAACACATTATGATGCAGCGGGTGCTGATAACACACGCTAGTTTAGCAAAACTTTTTAGTTAGGAATAAAGCGATTATTATTATTATTTTTATTGTCATGAAAGATTATCAATGTTATAAAAAATATTTAACAGTGAGAGAAAAATGAATAAAAACAATATAATAAAAATGGTTCACGCTGATTGGTTTAGCCACAAAATAAAATTATCCAATCAGATTATTCAGACTATGCAACAGATGGATACAAAATGTGAAATGTGAAAAAATCATCAATCTGATTAACCAATAGCATAAACTGTTGATTTTCAATAAGCCTACATTGATAACTATCATGTTGGGTGTGAAGCGATTCACCCAACGAACACATTGAATGAGTTCGCGGCATCATAGTCGATTGATCAAAGTTAGACATAAACATGGTTGGATACTGGCTAGGTGGCCTAAAGGGTTAAGTGTTCGCTCGCGAGGCTCATAGATGCTCACTGTCGCTGATGAGTCACAGACAAAGGACGAAAAAAGGCCGTCGAGTGCTTCCATTTATGGGGAAAAAATGAACAATTATTTAAAAATTGATTGAAAAATGTAAGTGATCAATAATTTATTACCAAGATGATAATGACAGTGATAAATATTGATGACATAGAAAAACACCAGGATAACTATAGTTAACACAGGACATAGATTGTTGAGTTTCATAGAAATCATGAATCGATGAACTCTATAACACAATTAGAAACTTGGAAACACTGGACGGCTGTTTCGTTATGCTATAGAAGGCATCAGCAACTGCTGGCAATCGCAGGATTCAAACTTGAGACTTTCGGATTTGTGCACGAACGCTTAACCTTTAGACCACTGAGCTGGCATCTGACCGTGTTAATGTCTAACTCTAATCAATCTAAGGATTTTAAGAAACCTCATCCATTGTCTTCAGTGAGCACTGCTTGACATCCAAACATGGTTGAACTCCACTAGTCACGACTTGTCACTAGAACTCGGACAAACGTCCTCACGGAGCTAATCACTAGTGAACAATCAAGGGTTTGACTAATCAACAATAATCCCTTGAGTTTTTGTATATGAAGACAACGAAAAGCGACGTTCAGTGCTTCCAGGGTGTATTTTTTTTAAATGGTGGTCTAACCATGATTTTAACTAGCTATTTAACACATAAAGCTGTTGGGGACGTTAGACCCCCAAAACTCGCTTGATAAATGTCTTATTTTGGTTTTCACGTTTGCCAACATGGGTTGATCAGTTGACCTTGAGATTTCAATTCCCACCAGGAAAATCCATAGCTTTGATTGGCTGCTGTGTTATTTTAGTGTGCTATTTTCGTAACTGTCCCAAGGACGTCTCTATGATGTATAATAAATAAACGAGAGTTGTGCGCTTGATTGTACTGTGTGATTGCTGAGTGTTTGTAGAAAATACTTTCTACGCTTACATAGCCTTCTTACTTCAGCTTGGGTTTCAAGGTAGCCTACCTGAACGCTGGTAAAAGTCTCGTTTGCGTTTATCGACTAAGGTAAACTCGTAATAGCCTCAAGGATACTTAGTGACGAACATAATAAAACCGACCATTCAATGGAAATTTCTCGAAAAAATTCGATAAATGAATGTCAATCAAGATAAAAACACAACGATTCATGCATGAAACCTCGTATGCAAATAGCTAAACAGAAATGAAAACGATTTTCTTCAATATCTTTAAAAATATCAGTAATTAAGTAGTATGTGTTGTGTTGGAATGAACTGTTAGTTAGTTAGTTAGTTAGCTAGTTAGTTACTGAAACTGTATAACTGCGAATTCCAGTAAGCATTCATTACCTTGAACAAATTTCAAAGCCCATTCATTGACTTCTAATAACTGAATAATGTTGGTGTAGATGCAATGA